CCCGCCGATGAACGGTGGCGGTTTTACGACGACACGCACATCAACGGTTATAAGGTCGGAGAAGAAGAGAGTGACACGAACGTACAGGTGGTGAAGAAGGAAGTTCCGCCGCCAACGCCAGCTCCGGCGGAGAGGAGGAGCGAGCAAAAGAAGAATAAGAGAACAAGTGCAACTAAAGAGTTGTTGACATCTTTGAAGGGAAAGAAGAAGAAACAAAGACAAGGAAGCGTTGAAAATGTTAAGAGCATTTCTTCGTTACATCCTCAAACTTCCTCAGTTATTCATAATATGTTTCCTTCAAAGAAAAGCGAGAACAAGAAACTAAACTCTGCTTTGTCGCCGCATGTTTCATTATCCAAAACCGAACCGGTTCATGGGGGTGTGACTACTATCGTTGCATCAAACAAGAGAGAGGATTTCTATGGCATGGAAGAAAATCTGGTCGATACTGGTAACGAGTCGCCTTTGATCCCAATACCTCCGCCACCGCCACCACCGCCGTTCACGATGCCGGCGTGGAAGTTTCGGGTGCAGGGTGACTTTGTTAGAATAGATAGCATTAGTAGTTCGAGTAGTGGTTCGCCGGATGTAGAAGATCAAGTTGTGGAGTCACCAAGAAGTGAAGATGGTGAAGAATCTGGAATCTTGTTGGTTTATCCTAACCCTGATGTTGATACCAATGCTGATACTTTTATTGAAAGGTTCAGATCCGGTTTAAGAATGGAGGAGAAGCAGGGGATTGGTACGTCCAATCTACGCCCTTCTACAAAACCGAAAGCTGGACCAAGTGGAGTTTAAGGTGCGAAGTTGGTGAATGTTTTGTCTTCATTCTTTGATTAGTTTGTTTTTGTTTTCTTTCGAGAGTTGTTCTGAAGTGAATTCTTTTGTTCTCACGTATGCATTCGAGTCCAAATTCATACAGACGAATAGGAGGATTAGTTATTTTATAAAATGATTTTTGTATATTTTTTTAATGTATATACACACTTGAAATGTTCAGTTTTGGATGTTGCGGCTTTATAACTGTTGGATTCTGTATGTTATATGGTTAGCACATTCTGTATATTACAATTCTTCCTTTGAACCTAGAGAAACTCTGCCCAGACCATCCGTGAAACGGTGAAACCATACATAGAGCTAAGCTAGACTTTCCTGTTTAAGGTAGGTCCGTTTGTAGACTCCAGCAAGATCAGTATATTACAAGGGAAGTGTTTTACTCAATCTTATACGAAAAATTCTATGTAATTTCCTCTTGAAAAAAAAATATTATAGAATGCATGGTGGCCTTCTGTATTAGTTACTAGATTGTAATGGATTATATTGTGTTGTAAAATATTGCTGGGAACACACATGAATTTTCTTTCCAAAGGAAACTATATTAACTGCTGTAAAATAAATTTACAACCGTAGGAATATTCTAAAAAAAAAAACTTTCGTTACTATACTGTTTGGTTGCCAGATTAATCTATAATCTTTAGTTTACTTGTGAAACCTTTTGTGTACAAATAACCCCAACAACAGAAAGGGCGAGGACTGGATGAAGTATCTTCCAAGACTAATAGATTACTTGCCCGGAATTTCAAGTATGATTATGGTGCACAGAATTAGAAAGTCTAAATTATATCAATGGGCTAATTAAAAGGAAGCGAGCAATACACTAATTCACCAACTTGTCAAGTTGTACTAAGCTACGTAATTCCAATTCGCTATTACCTTGAATATCTTAAAAAAGATCTTCACCTCAACTTCACGACAAACACTGAATTCAACTAACAATTCAGCAGTCACGGTGCCAATCTTTGATTGCGATGCGATATCAATAGGACGTAAAAACAGTGAACTAGACTCGCACACAAACGAAGGAAGAGGAGATGTATTCAAGTATTCAACACACTATATTTCATTCAACTCAATCAGTCCATCACACGATACAGTGGATGGCCTTTTATAGGCAAATATCCTACAATAAAATAGTATTATACTTGATGTCTTAGAAAAATTCATTTGTGAAGAAAGTAGAAGATGAAGTGTCCAAATTGACTACTACTCAATGTGTGGCTTCAACCAATCAGTACATATTGCTGCAGTGCTGCCTTCACATAATTCAATATAATATGACTACTTTAGCAATGAAGCGAGTACTTAGTCCAACAATGTGGCTCCTTTGCTGTCATTCTCTTTCTCTTGATTTAATTATTTCTCACAGAAAGCAGAGAGTTGCTTGGTAACACCCACACTTATAGGTTAATGCCATCGTCATAACATGAAAGAGATTTGTTTTAATCATATTTGTTCCGGCCAAGGGGTGGACTAGGGTTTTTTCCTAGGTCAAGCCTCAAAGCCAGAGCATTCAAAAGTGTGATCGGTCTCTTCAACTCTAGGGTTTTGGGTTTTATGATATCGTTCATGGGCCTCTTGGGCCCATGAATGAAGGGATTTTTCTAACCGTTTCTTATCATGATGGCGCGGGGTTAAAGGGAAACAAATCTGGTCGGATTCCGACCGACTGGGTCCATACCGAGGACCCAGTCGGGTTAATGCCGAGTAGAAGGCCAAGTCGGATTTTGACCTGGACGGTACAATATTATTTTGGAAATGTTTTCTACTCTTCGGATTGGGGGTGGCTGGAATTCAGTAACAAGCCAACAATATGCATTCCTCATTGTATCCAATTCAATTTTCTATGGGAGCTGACAAATGCTCAACAAAGAAAACCTACAACAAAATCTAAGCATGCCCCAATATAGAGCAGCATACATAATGCAGCAAGCAGATTATTACAACACTCAAACCTAGCTAATAGAAAAGACAAAATACAGTAGCAGCAGCAGCAGTAAATATAATGATGATCAGCTCAGGAGGGGGAACAAAACTTGCAATGCTAACCTAATGAGCCTTACTCTGCAAATACGTCTTCAAAACATCCATAACCGATCCAAAGTCGGCCTTGACCTGCATGGGTGGGTTGGCGTAGCGGCAAGCCATGTCCTTGATATCCCTGGAATGGTAATCAATCTTGGACTGAGTAAACTTCAATCCATGGGCAGTGCTGACGACCACAGTCCTATCCGTAGCCTTGATAACCCCACTGTTCCTAAGCTTAAACAAGGCAGTCAAAGCAACCCCAGTGTGGGGGCAGATAAACATCCCAGTGGAATCCGCCTGAGCCATAGCATCCATCAACTCCTCCTCGGTAGCCTCCTCCACAATCCCATCGCAACTCTTCAAAGCATGAACCGCCCTGTCGATGGAAACGGGGTCCCCAATTTGAATAGCAGAGGCAAAGGTGGTGGTGGGCTTGACGGGCTTAAACTCCTTCCAGCCAGACTTGAAATACAAATACAAAGGATCAGCATTTGCGGCCTGAGCACAGACAAGCCTGGGAATTTTATCGACAAGGCCAAGCTCCTTGCACATTTGAAAGCCTTTGTAGAATGCATAAATGTTGCCGAGGTTGCCACCAGGGACAATGACCCAATCAGGAACCTGCCAATCAAACTGCTGAAGAATCTCAATGGCAGCGGTTTTCTGCCCCTCGAGTCTCAAACTGTTGAGAGAATTGGCCAAGTAGATAGGTAACTCAGCGGTGACCTCTCTGATCAACTGCATACAACCATCGAAGTCGGTGTCAATGCTCAAGACAAAAGCACCATTGGCGATGGGCTGAACGAGTTGAGCCAAGGAGATGCGGTTGGAGGGGAGGAAAACAATGGAAGGGATGCCGGCGGAGGCGCAGTAGGCGGACAAGGCGGCGGAGGTGTCGCCGGTGGAGGCGCAACCGACGCCGACGAGGGGGCGGTTCATTTTGCGGAGGCGGTTGACCTGGCTGACGAGGACGGTCATGCCGAGGTCCTTGAAGCTGCCGGTGTGGCTGATGCCGCAGTGTTTGACCCAGAGGTCGTTCATGGCGAGGAAGTGTTTGCCGAAGCGTTCGGCCCAGAAGAGGTTGGAGTTGCCTTCGAAGGCGGAGATGATGTCGTCGTGGTGGATCTCGGGGAGGACCCACTCCTTCTTGCTCCAGACGCCGGAGCCGTAGGGCCAGGTGGTTTTGCCCACGCGGGAGTCGAAGAGGGAGCGCCAGTACTGACCGTCGAAGCGCTTCAGGGCCTCCATGTCGTGCTGCACGTCCAGGAGCCCGCCCGACTGGGACCGGTACACGATCTCGTCCAGCGAGTAACACTCCGGGGAGGAGGGGTCGCCGTTGAAGGGCACGTACTTGGCCGAGAACAGGCCGTGCTCGTGGGGGGCGTTCACGCGACGGGCCTCGTCGCGGATGTTCTCGTCGGCGGGGCGGCGCTGGGGCTTGGCGGCGGAGGCTGAAGCGGAAGGGGATTGGGCGCGGATGATGAAGCGGCGGTGGGGTTGGGGTTTGGGTTTGTTGGGGTTTGGGGTTTTGAGGCAGAATGGGAGAGGCTGAAACAGAGTTGAGGAAGCCATGGAGTGCTGCTTCAAATTCAATGCCTAAGCGACTCAACCAATGCCAACCCAACTCCTTTTATTACTTGCGAGCCGCCGCGACTCACTTCGGAATTCGGATCTATGTTTTCTGCTAATTCTTATTTATATTTTTTACAGGGATATATAATTTTTTTTTTTAATTATAAAATAAATGACTATAAGATTGCATAATTACACTAAATTTAATACGCATGATCGTTGTGTTTATTTCAAAATATTCAATAATTTAATCAATAAAATTTAATATCTAAAAAGTCATATTGAATAAAGTAATTTTACTAAAAGTTATTTCTAAAAAAATTGATTAAAATATGAAATGTTACTGTAATGTATTATATTAATAGTATATGCATGTATTGTCTATACTAAATTACTAATAAATTAATTTATATATGGGAAAAAATATTAACAGAAATATCTTAACTTTTAACAATTTTTTTTAAAAAATAACAATTTATATATGCATGCATTGTAAACAATTTTTTTTGTCTAATTAATAGTTAGGCAAAGCAAGTTGTGTTATAAAGATTAAACATTTTACTCCACAATCCATCTTGCTTTTTATAGAACAAGACGACAAATAATTTGGGTTGGGCCATATGCACTTTTTACATCTATAACCTTTTCCCGGACGATTTACGATAATTATTGAAAGAGATATTATTAACGATGAATTGAGAAAAAGAAATATTATGAAAATTTTATACAAGTTTTGTTGTACATGTAGCACTGCTCTTAGCATTTTATGCATATCCTCATTTATATATTTTTTTTAAGATGAATTATTATTCACTACTCCTACCTTGTCATTCACCTACTCCCAAGTCTCACCAATATTATTAGATGGTTTTGTTATAAAAGCGTTAATTTTCTTTTTCGTAATTAATATCAGTGATTAACGTGGAAGAACATGATTAGGTTTGTGAATAATTATAGTAGAACGTACGAACAGCAGCAGATTCCAACTGGCACTGCAGGCAGCGATGGATAAGGGTTACCACTTACCACGTCACCTCCCTCTTTTTCTTCCTAACAAATAAAATCACATGTTTAACTAACCGACACGTGTCAGTTCACCAATCCTTCTCAACGTTTGGCTAATTATTTTATTTTTTAGGATTAATATATAAAATTAAAAAAAATTAATTAGAGTATATTGAAATTTTAAATTGTAATTTAATAAAAAATATTGTATATAATTATAATTATATTAAAAATACTATTTCATCAATTAATAATATTTTATACATATAGTAAATAAGATATATATTAACAATGTAAATAATTTTCAGACTATCATCCATATTTTTTTTTTTGGCAGAGACTACCATTCAATTATTGTTTACAGTAAAAATATTAAATTTTATAATAATTATTTTAAAATTTATGATTTCTAATTGATTAATAATGTATTTTTTTATACTAACACATAAAATTAAACGAAACATGAGACAATTTGTTCTTATCATTTCATTTAATTCGATTACTTTTTATTGATTTCACATTTCATAACAATATAAATTAGCCTTTTTTAAAACATAAATTCTTTATTTTACTTATTTTTGTTCTTTATATTTTTAAAAGATAATATGTTCTCAATCTGTTAATAAACACTAAAATTACATATTCTTAAGAAAAACTTGGCATTTTCACTATCTAAAAATTATTCAAACTATAATTTGTTTTAAAACAAAAATTTTGTAAGGAAATGTTATGAATAAGAAAAAACCTAAATACAGCCCAAACAACCTGCGATTCCGGTTCCCCCTCACCTTTATGCCCTTCTCTTTCTATAACAACACCAACCTCTCACAACCAACTTCGTCTTCTTTCTCTTTCGCAATGTTCTTAACTCTCTTTTCCGTCAATGGTGCAAACATAAATTGTACAGTTCCACTCCCTTCCCCTTCTCCTCCCTTTTGTAAATTCATCCCTTAATTCTCCCTTTCTTTCAATTTCTTCATTTCCCACTTCGTATTTGTACAGTTAGGGTTGCAGACAATGAGAAACACAGGAATTTGAGGGGGATAAAAATCAGATTTTGATTAGTGGGGTTCGGAGAAAGTGGCGAAAATGAACATGGGTGCTACCGAGGAAGAAGAATCGGCTGCAGAACTTGTCCCCCCTGCGGAAATCGATTGGCAGAAGCTGGACAAGTCCAAGTTTTTCTGCCTCGGCGCAGCCCTATTCTCTGTGGTTTCCGCAACCCTATACCCCGTTGTTGTGTTGAAAACGCGGCAACAAGTTACGCCTTCTCAGCTTTCTTCCATAAAAAACGCGTTTTGGTTGATCAGAATGGAGGGTTTTAGGGCACTGTATAGAGGGTTTGGCACTTCTCTGATGGGCACAATCCCTGCTAGGGCTTTGTACATGGCTGCCCTTGAGATCACCAAGAGCAATGTAGGCACTGCCACTATTAGGTTAGGGTTTGCTGAACACACTGCTGCCACGATTGCCAATGCTGCTGCAGGGTTGAGTGCAGCCATGGCAGCTCAACTTGTGTGGACCCCAGTTGATGTTGTTAGTCAGAGGTTGATGGTTCAAAGTGGTGTTTCTAGTTCATCAACTCAATATGTTAATGGAATTGATGCCTTTAGGAAAATTGTCAAGAGTGATGGGGCTAGAGGGTTGTACAGGGGATTTGGGTTATCAATTTTGACCTATGCACCTTCAAATGCTGTTTGGTGGGCTTCATATTCTGTGGCACAGAGAATGGTGTGGGGTGGGGTACGGTGGTACTTGTGCAAGAAAAACGGTGGTGGTGAGAGTGAATATTTGAGGCCGAATTCTAAGCTAGTGATGGGGGTTCAGGGAGTGAGTGCAGCAATGGCTGGTGGCATGTCTGCTTTGATAACCATGCCATTTGACACCATTAAGACAAGGCTTCAAGTGTTGGATCATGGACGCCGTGGACCAACGGTGGTGCAGACAGTGAGGAATTTGGTTAGGGAGGGTGGTTGGATGGCATGTTATAGAGGGTTGGGACCTAGATGGGCTTCAATGTCTGTCTCAGCAACCACTATGATCACTACTTATGAGTTCGTTAAACGACTTTCCACCAAAAATCAAGAGGTTTTCACTTAATAACAACAAAGAGAAAATACATAGAAGGAGAAGGGTTTTTCTCCTCTCTTTTTCTTTTGTCAAAGTCCTCTGCTTATTTTCTTTTCAACTTGTCCCTTTTTTTCTTTTCTTTTTCTGCCTTCTTTAGCCAGGTTGACTGCTTGATCAGTGTGAAGTTATTGGAAGTCATTTCTTATGTGTATATTCTGAATAAAAATTATTCTAACATAGTTACATTAACACGAGCTGATGTGGTTTCACATCCTGCAACAATTTCAGACAAGATAAATATGAAACCTTGAGATCCTTTGGATTTCAATACTATTATAAAGATTGTGGTAGGTAGCTATCTAATTAAAGTCTTGTCTACTATACAAACTACGGAGGTGTTTCCAACAAGAGCGCTGTGAATTGGTATTGCAGCCACTGATCACAAATTAGGAATCTTGTATTTTCCAATGAATAGAAAAAGGCTCATATTTTAAACTCAATAGATTAAACTTGAAATCTACATTGAAAATTAAAATTCTCTAGTCTTCATCCAACAGTTCTAATTTACTAGATACTCTATGCGAATACGTTAAATCCACGAGGGAGGGAGTCAATTACGTGGGTTTGGTTTGTCGTGGGTAACCACACTCTGCATGTTTCAAGATTTATAAATTTATTATTCACAATGTGAATGTAAGAATGTGATATTCCATATTTGTCATTCACTTTGAAAAGGATATATTTTCATGCAAATATAAACGTTATTTTCAAAACTATAACTCTTATTTTTACTCTTACTCTTTTTATTATTAGAATTTTAAATATATTCTTAAAAACATTAAAAATTAATTAAACATATTTTTAGAATAATTTAAAAGTGATATTTTTAATTATTAGTAGGGTTGAAATATTTTGAGTTTTTATATATTTTGTTTAAATACAATATAAAATAAAAAAATATAAATAGTAAAGTTACAATATGTAAATCAAGTGAGATAATGTATAATTATAAAAAAGTAAAATAATCTTAAATAAATTTTATTATAAAATAAAATAGTAATTATTTATAACAATAAATAATGGAGATATTTTTTCCCTCAACTACTTTTGATCTCCATTTTTAATAGAACTATTTTGTTCTTCAAATGAAAACTTCTGCTAAGTAATACATTACATTTCTACCACAAATAAAAACTTCCATTAAGTAATTATACATTACATAATTGTTCTCAAAATCATTAATTTTTTTGATAGAAAGTGAATAGTAACACAAAATGTCTTGACTCTACTAATTATCAATAAAATTGATGATAATTAATTTTTTGTATACATATAATTTTTTTCTTCTATTTTATCCTTAAAAGATATGATAAGTGAGAAAAAATTATTATATAATAAAAATGTATAAATCTCTAAAACAAGTGAAAATTAAAGGGCAATAAACCATTATGTTGGGTGGAATCAAAGTTCCATCTATATATCTATTTATTTATAATATAAAAATTGAGTCACAAAGTGTGACATTGCCACATCAAATTTCTAAAAATTTTAAATTTTGTCACGTTAGCTATTTTGCTTATGTGGCATACTCTTCACAATACATATTTTGCTACACAATTTGTTGTCTTTTTTTACGACTAAGGCTACCGATGTTTTTCAATGGAAATTTTGAAACAAATCATATTCATTGGTTACTAAAATCTCATTAAAACCTTTCTATATCATTCTTGCAATCATATCTCTCTCCTCCACCTTCCCAATGATAGTTTTGCATTTTGTGTAACAACATTAACCCCTATAATCATAAGTTACAGACTTTCTCTATTGATTATATGAGTGAGTTACTTTTAAGAGGATACACCCTCCTTAAGTTCTCGACTTGACCACATTGTATTTGTAAGTTATCTATGTGATATTATCGCATCAAATTTATAAAAATTATAGATTTTGTCACATTAATTTTTTTGCTTATGTGACATACTTTTCTCAATACATATTTTGTTACACAATTTGATAATGTCTTTTTTATGACCTAGGTTACCAATGTTTTTTATGAAAATTTTGAAATAAATTATATTCATTGGTTACTAAAATCTCATTAGAACCTTTCTATATCATTCTTTCAATCATATCTCTCTTCTACCTTCTCAAGGATAATTTTACATTTTGTATTCTAACATTGACCCTATAATCATAAGTTGCACACTTTCTCTTATGAATAAGTTATCTTTTAAGTTCTCAATTTGACCACAATGCGTCCATAAGTTTTTCAAAATTGTGAATAATAATAAAAAAAATTTCTCCATAACTAAGATAATCTTCGTCAAAGCGAATAACTTCCTGGAATCAACTATCAAGCTTCAAAATGGTACTCTGTTTCTAATAAAAATTCTCGTTTGATGTGATGAAAAAGTCTAAACTTCTAGACTTTGCTTCCCCTCACTCTAAAGCGAGTATAAAAATTAAGATGCTAAAATGTCATCCCATTCATTTGGTGCAAATCTCGTAGTACTTCCATTTCTATATAATTAAGGTGACAAGAGATTATAGTCTCAACCCACTAGGTTAACAAAATCACGTCAATACCAACACTACAAAGATTAACTTCTCCATCTTTTTTCATTTAGACGTGAAAATGTATTCATATGTGGATTGTTAACATAGCTTCAAACACGCTCTTATATGGAGCTTATGCTGTCGCGGTTCCATAGTTAGGGCAAGGATTGAAAAAAATTAACTTTCCCAACTCAATAATGCTCCCATGAAAGCATCAAATGACGAGCAGGCTACACGACCAACACAGCATAATCCCACATAAAAGACAAGAAATCTACTCGTGTCAAACAGAAAGACTATCCATCAACTACATCTAGAAAGAAAAACATTAACCAGATCGAACAAAGTGTTCCCATGATGGAAACTTGCTTAGCGAGCTCTCTTGTTACTGCATGATGGACACTTGTAGTGCTTGATATGCTCTGCCCTAGCAGGGGTGATCTTCACGCATTTTCCATGGAACCACTTCTCACAGATGTCACAGCAAATCCAGAATTCATCAGTACCATAATTCTCACCACATGCCCCACACAAGGTTTCTCCATGTTCATCATCATCTTGCTCTTCTAGTCCTTCCTCCTCATCTTTTGCTTGTAATGCCTTTGACTGTCTACCCTGGGTTTCAGAAGCCCGCTACTCCACCAACCAACAATTTCACAAGAACATAAATTATCTAAAGAGTAAAAGGGAACCACAAACAAGATAACACTACCCACACAAGTCAGATATTCTCAACCTCCTAAAAATATTTGCAAGTGCATATGCAACTATGCATAACATAGTGACCCTTCCGTTAACAGCCACACTTCATTCATGCATTAACAGGAATGAGATGCTGCTACCAACATTCTATACATTGAATTCAAAAATAACAAAAAAGACATGATATATAATTACAACATATTAGGATCCTTTATTCTCTTTTTATTCACCATCCCTTGTAGGGTGGTGCTAGCAGTTGTAAATCCTAATATAATCAGAGTGCATCAACCATTCAATACTCATTTGCATGCCATAATTCTTCAGAACAAATTCCCCTTACAATTACAAAGCTTCCAAGAATTAACCAGTGCAACTAATATATTTATCCTATTTCATTTTTTATGTGAATGTGAGGTCGAAACTAATAATACATCATATGCAAGGCTACGGATATAAAGTTCTTTTCTTATCAACAAAAATGTAATTGTAGCACCTCTGTCTTTTAGAACACATGTTATGATGGAAAGGACAAATTGTAACAAGATTGTGCGAGTTTAATAGAGATTGTTTCACTCTAGCTACTTTCTTGGGAGACAGTCCATAATGAGGAAGATCACTTTTATTTGATCTAAATAATTGTTTCATTTTGGTCTTGCTCAAAGCAACCAATTAAACTAGTTGCTATTTTTCTTCTTATTCTTTTATTTCTTTTCCAATTCAGTGTCAGCCAGTTTAAATCATTACAGTTAATACTAAGTTTTTGCACCTTGTCCTGGGTAAGACAGACAACTGAAAAAATTAAGCTGCAGCTACAGTCCTTTTTTCTAGCCTTCATATAACCTTTCATCTTGATGCATGCACCATGCCAACCCACTTCTCTATTTTATTTTTATTTAGAGCAAAGGGGATAATAAAGAAATTAAAAACTGCAAAGAGAAAAACAAAGAAAACACAATCCATAGCTTTCTATATTTTAGGTTAAGGGTTGTATCTACTAAACTCTAAGATTTCTGATAATACTTTTCAAGATGTTAATAAATCTATCTCCTGTAGATGGTTATAAAGATTTAATGCACATGTAATTTTATCTGAAAACAGGCTACACATGAAAAACATCCTAATGTTTTTCACAACAGTTCAGAGAGATAAGTAATTGTGAACAACTATTTATTTGTCATGTAGAGATGTGAGGAGAAAATATCTTTTACCGCTTTAGAGTAAGACTTAGATTTGCTGCCACTGTTGTTTGAAACTGAAGACTTCTCTTTAACTTGTTTCTTTGCTGCACCACTAACAACTTCAAATATTGTTGGTAGTTCATTGATCATACCGAATAGTCTTTTCCTGTATTACAAATGCCAAATCGTCTCGATTAGGAAAAAACATATACAACATTATGAAGTATCAACAAGAAATACAGACTACTAAATGATGACTGGAGAATATTGATTGTGGCTGCTAAATAAAAAATTACACGTTATTCTATGTTTCACCATCTTTGCACCTCTCCATGGCGGACAACTGCTTCAGTAATGATTGATCACTTTTTAGAAAACAAAATTACAAATCAACTAAGATAAAACAGTGATGTAACAAAATAATTATTGAAAGGAAGAAATTACTTGTACTAAACAAGAAGAAAACTCATACTTAACTGAGGAAAAAAAATAAGAATTAAACCTACACAAAGTCACAAACTTGACTGAACCAATGTGATAAATTAGACAAGTATGACATGAAATATAAGAGTTATGCTCTGTAAAATATACCTGTCAGTTTTATCAAATCCAAATCTGGCTCCAAAATAAAAGGCAAGGGCAAGTAACCATGTGTCACTATGAACAGCAACTAAAGATAACCAGTCTTTTTCCTGCATGCCATCCCTAGCAAAGTTAATGCCCAGGACAGGCTCAGGAAGCTCTGGAGGAACTTCTTCAACAGGTAAATTTACTTCCCAGTGCTCATTAGGTAATCCATATAAGCACAAATTCTCCTTCTCTGAAAGAATAAAATAACTGAAATGTTAAACTTATACAAAATAAAATAACTACAAAAGAAAGCAAGTTAATATGTGCATAGCATTGCGATTAAACAGGAGAACCAGTATAGGATGTATGCAAGTCTTACAACATATATAAAGAATAATAAGAAGCAATTCCATGACTAAAAATAGGAAAGAGAAGGTAAAACTGTATTGAATTGTATTATTAACTCATGGATTATAAGTGTGATACGTGAGACAATAAAATGAAAATGATTCCTATTCTAGTGAATTCCCATTGCATGCAATCTGTTGAGAAGGAAGAGAAACAAGTTTGTTGGAGTAAGAAAGACATGCGGGGTACGTGCAAGGGACGTGCAGGTATGTGCGGAGGATTTGAGTTGTTTAACACTAGTAATCTACCACAGATGATTGAGGACAGTAAACTGTCATTGTCAATTGAAATACAAAAAGAGATCACTGGGAACCTAGTTCTTTTTTTTTTTTTTTTTTAAAAAGATAAAGATAAAATCATAACAAATTACAATAAATTGACCAAGTTGACATCCTTACTACAATGAGAATCAAACATTAAAACAAGTAAAACAGCTATGCTGACATATTGACCTAATTGCAGTAATTACTCAAGGGGCAGTAACTGCAAACCACTAAAAGAAATAATACAAACTTAAAATCAAGGTAACTTACCAGGATCACATTGGCTGTAGAAATCTTCAACATCTGCAACAACATGAACAAACCCAAAAAAAAAAATTTAAATACAAAAAAAAAAACTTTAAAACCTTCACATGCAGAAATTTAAAAATAAATAGAAAAAAAGGATCAAAATTTATCATGCAAGTTGAAATTCTTGCAGGTGCAGAAAATAAAAGAAATGACTTTAAAAATTGAATAAAACTAAGGGGATATGCAGACACACAAAAGTAATTGCTGGCAGGTTAATGTCTCATTCATGAACGAAAATGACAAGAAGTATAAGAAAGAAACCGCTACAGTAGATCAATGAAGAATCAATCCATTGCCATGATTTGTGATTTATGATTATTTTTTTAATTTGTTAACTCATTATGAAAATAAGAAAGAAAAAAGGAACATGCATATGCAAAGAAGAGTATTTGTTAATGAATTAATTTGATTTGGTAGTGCATGGCATGCAAATGGAATTGGAAAATGTTAGTACCGCTGGTAAGGGCCTTGATGATGCCCGCTCTTCGGCCCTTGAAATCCTCAAATATGTCTTCTACAGAGCGAGTTCGCGCTTCCATTCTCAGAGACACTGAAAACGGTGTCGTTTAGCCTCTCCCTACACACACTACACAAATTTTGAGAGAGAACGAATTGCAGAGAGAGATATTATGTTATGTGCTGCGTTTGTTTCAGTTTAATGGACGACTCTATTTTATTTCTTTTGCATTTTGCATGATATATTTGCTTCGATCCTATGTGCTCGCTTCCACTACAATCAACTTAGGACCTGCATGCTTCAACGGACATCAATTATCAATTATTATTTTAATTTTAATTTCTTTTTTCGTCCTACACAAATACATGCAATTATGCAATTGTGGGACCTAGCCAGTACCCCAACTTGCAATCATGCCTTGTTTCCTATTATTATTACTTAATTATATACTAAAATCTCAAAATGTTCCTTTTTTTCCTTTCATAATAAAAAAAATTATATTATATGATTCATATAATGTACTTATTAAAAAAATTAACAAAACTTGTTATACAAGATAACTCGTCACTAAATGACTGTGTAATACACATATTATTTATTTTATTTTTATTTACTTGTCAGAATTGTTTTTTTTCTTTTTTTATCATTATACCACTGGTCATAAATATACTAATCTATGAAAAAAAAATCACGGTTTTAGTGAAATGTTTTATCTCTAACTTTTTTCACTCTACAATATTTCAAACTTAAAATTTTATTTAAGGAAACATATTAATTATCTATATTGTCTTTAATAAATAATAAATAAGTCGATTAAATAAATGTTTTTGCCTGATATAATAACAGGTGTTTATAACATTTTATAAGAGGATGAGAACAAAAATTTAAATTTCTCAAATTAATAGTTGGTATGCTATTGTTTATCATCTTCCGAGCAAACAGTTTAACACCTTCATATGACAACGGCAATAATTCATGAAATTTATATTCTGGTTACTTATATATAATAATATCTATAAAAAAATTTCTTTTTCTATTTTAAAAAAAATAATTATACTCCTATATTTATATTTAATTATTTTTTACTAATATATCTAAAGATAAAATAGGAAAAAAAGACATACAATAACTATTTTTTATTTAATTTTTTTTCAGAGGCACAGTACCTTTGTTAATCGCTAGTTTCAATGAAATCAATATCCAATATGAAGTTTTAACAATATCGTAAAAGCCTAACAAAAAATTGGAGGGATATATAATCAAATATTATATAAGAGGTGAAATGCCGTAGTTCTGAGGAAAGAAGAATGATTGGTTCATAGAAAATATCGGAACCTCCAAAGCAGGATGTCAACGGTGAACAGAATTGTTTTCAACAAAGCATCGGTATATGAGGTGGTGACATTAGAAACCAAACATTAGAAATCATATATACGCATTTCAACAAAACATGTTGCAGATATGGCATTAACTTGGAAAAAACATTGTTTATGACGAGTCAGTTTCAAACAACTTTAGGGTATACAATAGGTCCATGAAGGAAAATCAAAAGAAACAAGAATAACAACGACATATTAAATATGAGCCAAGGATGACTACCCAGTGGAACAACACAAGAAAAATTGTGTGTCCAACAAGTCACATCACATGTAGACAGATAGATGGTGCTGAGTGGTGCCACCATCCTTATCTGCTGTATAATTCTTCATATCCCTTGCAGCATATGTGACATGATCAGCACCATTCATGTAGTTTTGTTCCATTTGATGCATTTTAGATTCTGCACTCAAATTCATGCGAGTGAGGCAGTGATTTGCTGAAGTAAGCTTTGATTGTTGGAGCTTTTTAGTGTTGAGAAAACGACCACCAGCGCCTCTAGCTCTCTTTATTGCATGTAGATGGCGCGACTCATGAAGATAAGGCTGCACAACAATATCGTTAGAGTAGTTTAACAGAATTTGTTCTTATAAAAGAAAACATATTAGAGAAAACTTAGATACAAGATCATAGATATTGCTGGTTTTGTTTTACAATTAGAATTGAAGTTTCTCAGCAATACATATTGACATTATTATTAAGATAAAACTCTAATTCTTAATAGAGAATAGCATCAACAACACCTATATTACTGCATGTAAGTTTTATTCAAACATAAATACACTAACTTTTCGATCCTTGAGGGGTTTGCTATGCGCTTCAAGTTTTGCTCGATACTGTCTTCGCCTCAGAATAGCATGGTACTGCTTTGAATTCACATATATGGGTTCTTCTGTAACATCCAGTGGCAGAGGAATTCGAACAGGAGCAGGTTCCACTGGCTGGACATGAGGAATCTCATCAGATTATTTTGGAATTCGTCTTGATGCCAAATCTTGTAACTAGCTACAAGTTTCATGGTTTTATTGTGCAGGGTAATTAATTAATTTAGAGAACTATAACAGTTTAGGAACATAGCTCATGAGAGAGGATGAAGAGAAAATTGTAAGAGTTGTAAATTTGGTACTGTTAGAATGAGAAAAGTTGATTACATCAACACATTTACATGACTTATACCGGGAAAAGGAAAGTAACTAATTACCAACTAATTGCTAACTAACTATATGTCTAACAAAAACATCATATAAGAAATCCAAATAATTGATGCTTGATTAGTACAATACAACCCTACTATAGATAGAATGGCTGCTTTCTTTTTCAATCAACTGTGGAAAAAGACAAGAAGAATATACTTGTAAACATTGCCTGACTTCTTATTTTAAGGTGAATCTCAATATTCCTGAGCAGAGAAAAGATTACTTAAATAAACAGTAATGAAAATATATGAATAATCTCTAGAGTACTAATTACCTTTGACTTTGGACCATATGCAGCAGCCATTTGGCCAGTATAGCATGAGTCAGCATAGTGAAATGCAAGATGAGCCTGAAACCCAAATTTAATAAAACATATGCATATATCTTCCATCCACAAGAACATGAGGATATATCTACTTACAAGTGATTGGCTATGATTCAGTTGTGGAGGAGGGAAGGTGAAATCCTGACTCCCCATAAATGACCTGATGGCACATCCCATACTCTTTTCTCCAGTACTACCAAGTGTTGAACCAATTGAACTATGATAGACAGAAATTTGACCTAGTATCCAAACCAAAGCAAATACTCATCAATTTTTTTTTATCCGTAGGAACCAAACTTGGTACCAAGAGATTTATAACACTCATACACCCTGTTCAACCAATTGAGCTAAACTCTCATATTAAATACTTATCAATATGGTTTAGTAAGTAACATGCTGAGCATTTGACATTGATTCAACTATCTAAGACAAATTCCAACTCTTGGAATAAAAACTTCTATTGTAATTTTTATCCAATAAACAATGCTAAGTGAGGAGATAGTGCAACACGGGATCACAATCATAGACCTGAAATACTCCATTTCCTTTCTATTACCAGTAAGAAACATATACACCATTTAACAGAGAGAAATGACAAAACACCAGCTGATAAGCACAGGCATTCAGAAATATACAAAAAAGACAGGGTTTCGATCCAAATACCGGATTGTGCTGAACCAACTTCCGGATAAGATTGATCAGTGGATTGAGTTGAAGATGAATCCTGTTCTTGGAATTGAAAACTCGGTGTCTTGCTCTTGTGGTGTTGTGGTGGCATAAGCATAACATCCACTTTGAAGCTCAAACTTGTGGACATAGAAGATTGTTTGACTTCAGATTCAGAAGCCCCCCATGCTGGGCATCCAGGAACAAAGGGGGATGTTGAATGAGAAGAAAATAGAGCAGAGTCTTTCTCGCATAAGCAATTCATTGTTTTCCACACTAGCTCAAAGCTTAACACTTAGAACAACAATCCACTTACCTTCAAAAAAGGAAATTTGATAAATAGATATGAGAATTGAGAATTGGCTAAAAAAAATAATGCAAGAACCAAACACTATCTATCAAGATGAGTTCCATCATCTTAAGCTCCAATTACAAGGGAAGAAAAAAAGAAAGTAAAGATAAATGAAAAAACAAGGAAGGTAGAAAGAAGAGAGACCTTGAAAATTGGATAGGATGAGAAGGTGTGCATGTTTTCTTCTTGTGCCTTGAAACTATGTAATGTAAGCTTAGAAGAGACTTTCACTCACTCACACACTTGAATGACTCCATCACAATCATTGTTTCGGTCTTTTTGGTCTCTTGGCTTTAGTGCCAAGTCTTGACCCTTAAAGTGACGTCTACTTGCTGCTCTCAAAAACAATGCATTAACACACCAACTACTACACTCATCTGCCACCCTCCCGACTTATGTTAAAGACAAAATCATTTTTAAAAGTAAGAATCTATTTTTTAAAATATCTTTGATTTAAAAATAGTTTATCTTTATGCATTCCATTTTATCGTTTTGTTGTCCCTGTTGTTGTTCTTGCTTTGCAGGTTTTTAAAAAAATGAAAAATAGTAAAGGAGCGTCGCATCGCACTCTCTCATCTTAGTAAGATTTTCTTTTTTATTATTTAATCTTGAATGCCTCCAAATTTTTAGCCTAAGTCACGCTGCCAGACCCGTTTGTGTACTTCTTCTCATTTGTCTTTTTATTTTTTTATTTTTATAAATAATATTAATAAATTTTAATTTATATATTCTCCCCTCAGGAATGGAAATAGGCCAAACAACTTATTGAAAATGTCATATTTAAACTTTAAAAATAAAATTTTAATTATAAAGACAAACTCTAGACCTTTTGAGAAAATCTAGTAAGCTTACCGACGTATTTAAAATATAAAATAACATTATATATTAATTTACATATTAATATTTATATTTAATATATATATATATATGTACATATAATTAATAATAATATGTTTGATACTTAGGCTTATTAGTCTATCTATACCTACATGTCTATTGACTTATTTACAGTATGATACCAAACATAGCACATCTTCATGAGTCAAGTCAAACTTTTAAATAAACTAAAAAAAGAAAAGAAAAGAAAAAGCTTGTATTAAGTAAACAAACCGGACTCCGGTTTACTAACTTTTTAACAGGTTAGGATTAGATCAATCAACATCTGGCGTTGTCTAATATGTTTCTACCTCTAACTCTCATCACAAACCATATATAAATTACAAATGGTTTAGATAGTATCCTAAGTCCTATGATTAATAATGTAAAAAAGAACTTTAAATATATAAAGTAGGTATTATTATAATAGTTATAAGTTATAGATGAATAGGATAAAATTCATCATCAATAAATATTTTAATATATAAATTACATTATAAATAAAAATTTATAATATATAAATGTATTCAAATATATAGATTATATTTTAAATTTATAATAAATTATGAAAAGAAAAAGATGTGAGGGTAATGTATGAAATACACAAGCAAACAAAAGAAGATAAAAGAAATATTAATAAAGTTCAATATAATAAACACAATGTATCGTATCACAGGGTTATTTTCAACTATTAATATTTTTTAAAATAATAAAATTAAGCTTAAAACTGAAATTAAAAATAAATTGAAAGACATGAAGTTGAGAAGAATTTCTAAAGAATACTCTAGTTGAAAAATAGTCTCTAAAAAAATACTCATTTAAAATAACTATGCTATCCAACAGAATATTAGACAAACACCTTAGTAATTACAATACAAAATTAAATTATAATTAGCATACAAATTGGGATTATCAAGAAGGATAAAATTTTGGAAACTTCGCGAAAGACATCAAAAAGAAAGAAATAGCAACGGCATCATAAGAGTTGACACCTAATCGTCTTGTCCAATGTCGATAGATAATACTATTAATACATGAGTTTTGCGTAATTGTGAAGTAGAACATTTATTTTTTTTCATACTCAAGTTTTACCGCATTATCCTTATGCTTGTCATTTCATGGTTAAAAAAAACATAATAAAATTTGAGTTTATCTCTCTTTTTTTTTTAATCATAAGAGATTGTGTATATTGATGTTATGATAAAATTTGAGCGTGAAAAACATTGTATAGAGTTACATTTTTATTATTATTTTTTTTTACATTATCTCGTCACATCGAAGAAAAACACCTAAGTTTTAAAACTTTTCGACTTCATGTGGAAAAACTTTTATACTATATACATGCACTTAATAAAGAAAATGACAATTTTTTCACCTCACTATATTTTGTGGCTCTAAAAGCGAGTTGAATATTCTACGTTGGTGCTAATGAGACATGCTGAAGGTGGTACGTGGAGAGCATGAAATAACGATTGAGTTTTAGTGTGGAGACGGAAAGCATGTCAGAACTAAGATATGCTAGGCTAAACAGAGCAAATTTCTTTCAAATAGAAGTTTTACGTTGTCCATCAATTGAAATTAATAATATACAATTTGAAATCATATTCCTAGGCGTTAAAAAGAAAAAGTATCCTACGCTACTTTCTAAATATCAATTTCCCAATTTGATCTTGCGACATGACCCTTGAAATTAAGCTTTACTTTCCTGAATAATAGGGCTGGAACAACTATTCACAAATGACAATTTGTCAAAAACAAAGGGTAATAAACTTTTCTTTTGAATTATTGAATATTGACACGGTTCTCTTCCTTTCTCCCTTTGAAAACAAAAAATCCTAATGAAGTTTGCAATCAGTATACAATTGACAATAAATTATAATTGAGTGACTGTCCTCCAGCGTTGATCGTTTACCCGTCATTATCAAAATTGTATGGTAAGAGCCTAAAGCAAACCAATCTTAACCAGGATTTGTGAAATGATAAAATCATTAAAAGGATATATGAAATTTACCAGTAATTAAACTAATACGGCATTAACCCAACGGTTGCAGAAATGTCTCGAGTGTCAGACGACTGGGCAGTAATAAATAATAAAAAGTAAATTTTGAATGGCATTAAAGAGGGGGGGAAAAAAAGAGGGATGAGAAAGGTCAATCTGAGTTAATCTATTACACGACCAATGCCTGAGAAACCCCAAAAGATGTATGGGTTAACACAAGGTCATAAAATCATATCCCAGAATATGTGAACTTGCCATTAATATGCAATATAAGACAAGAGATTTTCCCATGAGCTGCAGACATCCTCGTTTAAAACTTATCAGGACAACCACTTAGTTTATTATTTTAGAGCAAGGATTTGACTTGCCAACAAGAATGCCAATAGCCAAGTTGTTAATAATCCCGTCCCTTGAATGGCATTTCCTGTAAAATATCGATTTGTGAAGATAGGTTCCCAGAACATTAATAAGCACAAAAAGTTCCACGAAAATGTATATATCGGATTACAGCTAAGATGATTCAAATTCAGTTTGATATGGGTAAGGGAAGACACGTCATGTTCCATTAACACGTGCCAAGGAAGAATGTCCAACATGCATCAGGGTGGAGCATTAAACATGTAATAAGTTATTGAGATAGCTGATTTTATCATTGAATAATGATTAATGTACATACAAAAAAGTGGGTGTTCGTGTATGGATGATCAGGTGGAAATGAGAGAAAATAAAATATATGACAAATTATGTTATGAGAATTGAAGATATAGAAAGCAAAAAGGGGTGGAAATGGGATGAAAGAGAGAGTGGAAGTTTTTTCTTTATCATTTATCTTCCCACATGCTCAAGACGTGATGTTTTCTAATGACAGTAAATGAAAAGGGATCGAGAATAAAGATAAATAGTAAAATAAAATATAAGCAATTTCAATTAAATACCAATTAATAAAAAAAGTATTGAGTTCTTACAGGCAGATAACTCGGCATGTATAAAGCTTGCCTAGGATGACCAAGAAGCTGTCCATACTGCAATTAGATATTAAGAATTACCCTAAAGCACCAATATTTACATAACAGTCACAGTGAGATATTACATTCTACAGGTGATATTATTATACCTGCGGTCCATTCGGATGAAAATATGCTTGAGATTGCATTTGTGCTACCTGAGGATTATATATGATAGGTTGTGGACCAGCAAAAGTTGGTCCCATCTGCAAGCCATTAGCAAAATAATCAAGTTTGTTAACAGAACTAAGGCAAAAAGGAGATTGTTAAGCCGAACCCAATAGATCTGCAAAGCCTCTTATGCAAACTACATAAATATTAACCCCCCCCCCCCCCCCCCCACCAAAAAC